CAAACCTGGACCTAACTAGAATGAGAGTTCAACATACCGAGAGGCTTTTGAAGCTGACGACTCACATTCTACAAAAGATGCTACAGGTTGATCAAAAAGTCACGCAACCCACACTTAAATATTTATTGGTGGCCGCACTCGAAAATTGGCTTACGATACGTTCTCAAGGCAAACATTTCCCCTTTAAAACCTGCAGTAAATTCATTTAGAAATGAAACAAATGTTGTTATGATTTACTTCTTAGTGGTACAAAATTCAGAAGCTGTGCTTGAAAGATCTGTCTGAAAAGGAAATTCTCCAGCGGGACATGTAGAGAGCATAGGTAAATGAGAAATAAGTACAATTTTTTATAAAAAAAACGTAGGCGCAGATGGAAGGATGATATTAAAATGAATCGTAGGAGAATAAGTTTTGGGGATGTGAACTGGAGTCATCTGATTCTAGGGACCGGTGACGGGATCTCGTTACACAGCAATGAATCTTCAAGTTACGTAAAACGTGGGCAATTTCTTGACTAGACGAGCATGCAATTAGCTTCTCGAGGACGAATCTGCTTCAAGGAGTGAGTCTCTTCTTGTGCGATCTCAGCCCTCTCTTACAGACCAGTAGGAAGACGAGGGTTGGGTGGTCCGTCGAAGATATTAATATTTACCATGCTGACATCTATGTGCGGTCTTTTATAAACACGAACAACCAGCAGCGCTCTCTCGTCATCCGTTTATTACCTTCAAGGGACGCGGCGTTAAGAAACAAAGAAGCAGCAACGCGCAAACGGGCAAGCAGCTGCCGTAACACACACACACACACAAACCAAACCGGCATTCTGAGCATGAGCCACGGTTCTGGGCTCCTTTTGTCTTCACAAAAAAAAGGGGGTACTTGGACTGAGCCAGTTCTGAAATGTTGTGGCGTTTTCAGAATTCTACACTGAAAAGCCTGAGCGACATTTTTATTAAATTTTACAGGCTGGCATTCTTCAGTTCAAATCCTGTCATGATTGGTCAACCCGACCAACATTCCTTTCTGTTGTTCGCAGTCGTCAGTGGCGGAGTGGAACCAAAACTTGAAATTTACCCCCTCCCCCCCACCAAGTATTTGCTACGTTCTACGCCCTCGGTGGCTTATCAGCACGTTCCTCTATCCTATTGTCAGTTTCAAAAACATTTAACTTGCTCTTGCCTTAATGTTACAGACCAAGCTTCGAAAAATTCAGGAAAAAATATAGTTTTTATATATATGATATACGTCCTTACGTATTACACGGGAAGATACTTGTGGACTAACTGGTGGCAAGCCTAAAGTGATTTATCTTGCTTAAAATTCCTATTAATTATTTCTGCCACGTGTACACTTTCAACTTCTAATAATAATCATTTCGTAGGTGTATGACAATCAGACGTTCTAACAAACTGTTGCTTGCTTCCAAACGAATAAATGCAATCTTAATGGATTATGAGAAGAACCCTTTGTCCACATATTTTTCGATTCATCACTGATAATCTTCGTATCCAATTTGATAATAAATTACCTCTGTAATTGACATTTCATTAGATAACCCGAACCTTGAGAGTCATGTTCATCCATTATGCTTGAACTTCAAGCTATCCCACACGAACCAATCTCATGTTCCCATCAGTAGATATCTTTCGTATTCTTCCAAAATCAGACTCACGATTCTTTGTTCTACGAGATAATTTTATGAATTGAAAACGATGGCATTAAGATCACTGAGGCAGATTGGTTATGACATGCGTTTCATTTTATCACCGACAGAGGGCAGCAGGAAGTTTGCATGATCCCTGACAGCAGACGTCAGGACTACGTCGTCCTTGAGGTTTATGGATAGTGACGCCATGGCGTAGGATCGTCTTTTTTCGTGAACATCCGTCAAACCATTCTCGAATTGGAATAGAATACAATAGAACAGAATTTATTTTCATTCCACAGATCCCCAAGTCAAGGTGTAGAAGATGTAGAACAATGGGGAGTCATCTTCTGGGGGGTTTAAAATACGTGTCTCTAGGTATCATGCATGTATGGAGACTTGTCCAGAAGCCTTGAAGAGGCAAACTCTCAATTTTACAGTCAGTCAGGCTGGCAACCTACTGAGATTAAATAGATGGCCCAGTCCTTGGAACAGAAACTCGATGGAAAATATAACCTTGGCAAGTCGATGGAAAGAATATTAAGAAAAACTCATATATGTGAGTTATTGGAATATATGAACTTCGGGCTGTAAAGAATGGCCTTTCTTAACTATGTACGCTCATATTTGGTAATTTTAAATATGATTTGATTCTACTTTTTTATTTGTAGGCCCATGAAGGTCATGACCACAGACATCATCAGACACAAAATCTGTCCTCGGATCAGCGATTACCCATAACCATTTACTACGAATCGCTTTGCCCTGACAGTACCAGGTTCTTCAAGGAACAACTTGAGCCTGCGCACAAGAGCCTTGGACAGTACATAAACATCGAGTTTGTTCCTTATGGCAAAGCCAACCAGGTAAGCGCACATTTTCCGGGCGAAACCCGCAGTTCAAAGATCATCTTTCTCTTGAGCATCCCACGAAAATCTTCCACAACTCCTAGCTTATACAATTGGTATCACTGGATTTCTTGGCTTTTGTCGTCTGTCTAGTATTCTGTACAGAACACAAGTGTTCTGGAAACTGGATATTTCCATCATCAAGTGAAAAGGCGAGGAGACACCTCATCAGTTGGGTCCATTCGAGAGAACTGATGTTAAACACTGGTCACGTTATTCAGATCAGCTCCAAGCTCCTCACTTTTACACCTTTGGCAGAAACAGATTAAGTTTCTGAAACAACGTGTTCTGTTCGAAATGCTAGACGATGGACGAGATCCATGGCTTATGTTTTCCAGCTCGCTCTCAACCACAACTTTTAAGTTACCATGGATGACTGTAAAATTATACTTTCCTATGCCTGTGAATAGAGAATTTCTAAATCAAATTGAAAGTACTTAAATCTGTTTAACACTGAAATTACGTAATATAAATGAATTTTTAATAAGTGTCGTAGAGCAAAATGGTAGGTTCGGCAAATTTAATGTGGCTTTTCATGCAAGTCATGAATTAGTGAGCATCACTTAAGACTCCATTTTGGAAGTGATATAAAGGAAAGGGCGTAAGAGTGATACTTTATGACTTTGAGCCAAATGCCTAAACCATTACACAAGTATAGATTTAATACTTTCCCATTTATGCTTTATTTAAATGTAGAAATTAATTTTGAAAAAAAAAAATGATTGTTAATTCCCTTACAAGACAGAACTGGATTAAGGAAACAGACAGTTCAGCTAACGCACTATTTTTTTTCAGTGGTACAGCGGTGATTCGTACCAATTTGAGTGTCAACACGGGCCAACAGAGTGTTACGGGAACATTGTTCAGGCATGTGCCGTAAACGTGTATCACGATGAAATTAACCAGTTCAATTATTTAACGTGTCTCATGACAACCGTGGACCTCAGGAACGTCACCAATGCGACGTATCCCGTGGAAGAAGTAAGTGACTGCGTTTGTATATTTTTTTCACACTGAGGATGTGATCGTGCTGGTAGACGTTACAATTTGGGATTGATCTGATGGAAGCATGTGGGTGGCTGCGTCAGTCAGTTAAAATTCTTTTCTCAAGTTAAATCAAAACAATTTTTTAATGCTCATGTCAGCGTTTACTTTAAAATATTTCAGTTTACTTAGTAACTTTAATGTACCAAGGGTTAAAAATTACTTTCCTACTCTTAAGGTTCCTTCAGAACAATAGAGAGATTCATTATCTGTGTTTATCTCAGTTTCATGGTTTTCTCTTTTATTTCCTTATACACAGACACACCCAATGACATTAGGCCCTGTGATCAGCAAAATTGATGGCAGAAATTGAATATTAACCGACCCCTTGAATAGAAATAAAAATTATGTATCCCTCATATTATTGCGTGGTAACACGATTTCCTTTGATGAAACAGCGTAAGTAGTCGTAGTGAACTTTATTTTTACGTATAAATATCGGACGTCTGAATGCCTCGATCGTAAGTGGTCGGTGTTTGAGCGAGACACCTCGTCTCAGCACTGAACAGATTAATTATAACATAACATAATATGTGATGTTTCAGTGTGCAGTTGGTCTGGATGTTGACAATTTAAAGAGATGCATCGATGGACCTGAAGGTCTGAGATTCTTGTCAATTATGGGGAACAAGACTACTGAGTTGAATCCAAAACTGCAGAGTGTTCCAGCTATCGCTGTGAATACGGTAAGAAAACGGCAACAATCTTTTCAAAAAGCCGGCTATGTCTTAAGTCTGAGAGTTGGTGACGATGGTGCGTTGTTGAAGCACGTCGTTTTCTGGACTTCATCCGTCGTCCAAGATTAAATAACATCAATAAGAACCGCGACATTTCGGAGATGGGAGTCTGCCTGTCGGACCAAATCAATAGAGTCCGGAGATAGGGATTGGCTCTATCGAAAAATTTTAATATTAAAAAGTATTGACTGAGTAGAGGAAAACGATGAAGCAGTATTTCCTACGCTACATCTGTAGTTCTCTGTGCCCAGTTTTCACAAGTTAAATTGTTTTCTATCTAAAATGGAACTGTGTTGTAAAAGTATTGACTATGCATGTGATGGGTCAACATGTCACATGCACGACCAGGAATTAAATTAACTCCAATGGGACAAATGTCCTGTATGGACATGTTCAAAAGCTACTTTACATATCCTGGGATTTTTACGTCTTTTAATGAGTTAATTTTACGTATGGATTTTCTCTTCCAGTCGTTCAGCTATGAAGAGCAAGACGAAGCGGTGAACAACTTAAAATCTTTAATTTGCACTCGCCTCAAGGCCGCAAATACAGTTCCTGAAGAATGTACCTCCAGTGCAATAACTGCAGCATCAAGCATCCTACTCGTAGCGCTCGCGTCACTTTTCATCACCACTGCTGCCTCTTAATTTTATGCACGCATCATGCATTAGGATGTAGCACAATGTAGATTTGTTGGGACTGTATGAAAGAAATATTAAATATAAGTAAATTAATGATAAATGATGAAATAATATAACTGTTTGCATTTATTTTCATGTTTTACGTAATTGTGATTATCATTATTTTGAAATTAAATTCTTCAGTATATCATACAGATTGCATATATATTATACAGTTTCATTTCAGTCATTATTTTGTCACTGTGAAATGATGCTGACTATAAAATAGTGTTATTCCACATATTAGGAGATAGATAGATATAAAAACATTAAATTGTATAATTGTTACAAAGAAATACCATGTTCACTTTTTGCATCAAAATAAACAAAAGAATTTCATTGTGCATTTTCTACAAAGAAATTGATGAGATGCTCTGAAGAAAAAAATTATGATGGATTTATAAACATCATGAATGTTGATCAGATTAGTCATTTGTATGTCATGTTCCAGGATGATGAAATGTGATGACTTCAATCACTGAAAGAGGTACCAACTTCACTGTACCTATTGCAGCAGTTTTTTTTTTGTTTTACCTCATCTGACTGAAGGGATATTTTTTTATTACTGTGGCAAGAGTGTAGATAATGAAGTTAGCTCACTGTAAGGCAATATAAAGTACAAAACTGAATGTAAAGAATAACTTCTTTAAACTTCATATTTTTGCATCAGTTTTCCAGATTTTTTCTGGGTAAAATCCTCAACTTAAATGTTCAAGCAAAGCTTTTATGTAACAGCTTTCTTTGAAGTCTTAAGCACTATTTACTTGCATTTCAAAAGTTCAGTAATATTAGTTTCAATTTGTAATTCTGATAACTACTGCTGCTTAAAGTTATTACACATGTGGAGGTGTAATTTTGCTTGTGATTAGTATATAATACAATTAACTAACAGTTATATGAAAATGTAATTTATTTTGGTTTTAAATGTTTTAATTATTTAAAGCAATTTTGTGTTAAGGATTTAAACAAAGATCTTTAATTTTTGAAAATCGTACTGAAGTACAGTGTTTATCCACATGCTTATTCAGGACTTCTGTGAACTCTCGGTGCCAGATTCAGAAGGTAAAACATCCCTCTGGGCCAAAGTTGGACTGGGTTTGAATTGTCTTCTGTACCATACGTTAAACTACATGTTTGTTCATCAATCTTGAATATTCCTTTAGTTGTATGTATATTGTAAGTGTTATTAACAATTAAAATATAATTACTGAAATCAGAAGAACATACATATTCAATGTAGCAACACTGAAGTTCCTCCCATTCTCAGAATTTAGTACAGTGTTTCTGGATACTTGATATTGGCATTGGAATGCCAGAAAAGCAGGGCAGAGCAGTTGTTTATTTGTGATCACATATGGTTATTACAATCTAGAATTTATTATGTAGGCAGCTCTTGATATTATTTTGAGTTCATAGCTAAACAGAAAGAAAATATTAGCCAGTATAACATTTTGTTCTAATAACGACGCTTAGTCCTACTAAACAGAACCCAAATTACACCCTACTTAAAGGAAACGAAACTAACTAACTTGACATAACCTAACAGAAATTAAAATTAACCTACACTAATGTAACCTAACCTAACATATCGTAACTTGACAAATATTTTACTAGATTTCCTATGTAAATAAAAAATCGTATTCTCACGCTCGTAAATCTCGAATGTTCAGTATTTTGTTCCTTTGAATTTAGGACCTTCTTTACTAAATACTAAAAAATTTCCAAATTTTCCGACGATTCAAAATACAAATGTTTTGAAACATACTGTATTCGGCCTTGAATGTATGGGGATTACTTATGCCTACTTTATAACTCATTCGGATGCATTTCAAAATTATATTACAAACATAATTTTCTTGAGAACAATATGTTCAATAATTCTGTTACACCAAACCTCTGTTTACATATGCTTCGAAATTTGAAAGCCTAATACGCTTAGGCTATCCTAAGGTAATGTGCAATGTTTGCTTGTGGCCTTTGGCAGTTGTTCGGTGCTGCCAACTTGTTTTTCTGTTGTACCTACATTTAATAGAATTTGATTATTTATTGTCTAGTTACGAAAGCTTTTCATTACTATTAGTTAAATTGAGGCTTAATTTTAAATTCACCACTGACTCCAACGTTATGATGCTGTGCCATTTTCCTACTCAAATGGTGACTATAGGCCACTTTACCTGCTGTCACTGGAATGTAATTTAAACGGAAAGCTTTATTCCATTTATTTGATGGGAATTGAGTTTGTTATTATCGTATATCCATGAGGAGTCGGTTTATAGTATTATGATGATACTCCGTGTATTAAGATGGTAAGGAAATATAGAATTATATTACGTATAACGTGGCCAGATAACTGATGTACTAAAGAAAAAGGAACTTGAAATGCAAAAAACGAGTTATTTTATACAATTATTTCAAGGTGGTTTTGATGACATGGTTTTAGGATGATTTGGCTTGGTTAGAGTTTGTGAGGTTAGGTTATGTGTTGGTTTAGAACACCTGCTGACAATGACAAACTTTAGCCGTCGTATGTATTTTAGGTTAAAGCGCCACGAAACCTTCACGTGCTGTCTCTGCAGTGCTTCTGTCGGGCATGTCAGTCCTGCACAGTTTAGTAATTTTCATAAAAACATTTGTTAAGAACATAAACATTGCTTGGAAATTAAAGTAAGTAAAAAAGTAACTAAAGAAAAATTGCAAGATGTAATATTGATGGCAGTACAGATCTGATTTTTCCACTAAGAATGTGACCAAAAACTCCAACAAGATAGTCATCTTAGAATTGATGTTATGTTTTTAATCTCAGCTGTAATGGTTGCAATTTTATCAATTGTTATGGCAATGTAATCAGCACAATATTTCTATCATTCTGATTTCAGAATTGCTAGTATGTTACATCTATGGCAGACAGTACAAAACCTTTCAGTCTTTTGGAGCCTGAAGTCATCATAACTGTGAAGGAAGAGGTCAGAATTTTATTTGCTGTTTTGATTTTTTAATTTACCTATCATCAGTGATATATACCAGCAACATCATTCACTAATATAAACATGGTATTCTGAGGCTAACATCCTATATAACTGATTTAATCTTGTGTGTTGCAAGTGAAGCCATGTTAACAAGCTGTTTTGTGTTTATGAAATGGCAAATCCTCAGATTGCAAGTGGAGGAAATGCCTTCAAATTTGGAAATATATAAAGTAAATATAAATGAACAGCTGACTGGAAGTTGTTTTCCATGCCAATATACCTTTCTTCATTTCATATATTTTCATAATTTCTTTTATTCTATCTGAAGCTCTTTTGATAGTCTCTTTTTCTAGGTTCTCTAAGGCTGCACATCTGTGCGAGATGTTACTCTGGTACTGTTATTTAGTTTAATGATATTAATTGCTATGCCTCTTTACTTATGGAACACCTTTCCTTGCATGTGCATTGACCAGGTAGAGATCAGTCCTTGTACATGAATGATACCTTTTACATTAAAACATGATCTAATTAATATATTTTTTTAATGTTTATAAAATGCCCAGTTAATGATCATTGAATAAAGGTACTGAATAAATATTACCAAGTGTGTGAGAATTATTTTACACTCATCACTGAAGCAAAATATTCCTAATATATTGGAGTATTTGTTTGTAGCAAGAAGATCGAGGGATTTCTGAAGACACAGCTAATCAGATTGAGAATGATGAATTGATTGTAGATATGAAAGTCAGCATCAGCGGAGTTGTTAATGAAGTGAAGGTAGGCAACATGCAACTAGGACTGGAGCCCTTCTCAGTAAACAGGTACCAGGACTATGACATGGGATCATTGGAATACATGGTGATCTTGCTTTATAAGTTATGAGTTTATACCCCTGCATGATGCTTTTATATTATTTTTTAATCTACCATAAAGTTCTTGAATTGTCTTCATTAGCCTTTCAGAAACAGTGTGTGATTTAAAACTGAAAATAAATTAAATTAGACAATATCTGTAGTGTTCTGTATTCATTGTGGTAACACTCAGCTATTCAGTTTACAAATGTGAAATTCTTGACTTTAAATTGTTTGATCATTTAATGTATTTCCTTCAAAAATTTATGAAGTGGTCTTGGTTTTCCATTGTTATAATTCTTATTCTAAATATAATCTGTGTAGTCGATTATCCACTGATAAACGTGCTTTTCAACACTTGAAATTAAAATTATGTTGAATTCTTATTGGTTACCTTGACTTCGTCAGTATTCTTTTCTGGAGCTAGTGCCTCATCAGTATGTATTTGGTCTGAACTCACTAGCACCAGGAATATTTAGTATTTACTGAAGTAATTTTTTCTCGTGTTTAGAATACTATAGGAATACACAACCATATCACCATTCACATCCTTTTCTGTCCATATCCTTAGTTGGTACAATGACTGTTTTATTTGTATTTCCATGACAATCTTGAGATACTTATTTTCGTCTTTATTTTTATCTAATTTTGTCTCTTTAATATTCTGTTTTGTTTGTTTGTCAAAGTTTTACTAATGTAGTTCCATATCTGAGTTTGCTGTCAATATTTATCTCCATATATTTGTTTACATATATGCAGCCATACCATCTTCCCTATTTTCTGTATTATATTACTGTAAGCAGTCTATTACCTCATCGTTAATTCATTATCATTATCCTTACACAGTTTGTTGTCCAATTTTATTATGGTTGACCTTTGAAAGAAAATGGTGTTTGTTGGAGAAGTGTAAAAGATTTAATGTTTTTTAATTATAGAACCCATGGAACAGCTAATGCCTACAATGAAGCATTGGATTTATCTTTTGGAAGGAATGCAGTTTCAAATAAAGTTGGAGAAATTGTTAACCAACAGACATATGTCTTTGATGACAGTGTGAATAAGTTTGCCTGTCAAGTGTGTGGAAAGTGTTTCAGCAGGCGGAGTACGTTGGAAATTCATAATGTTGTTCATTCTGGCCTCAGACCTTATGAGTGTAGTGAATGTGGTAAAGCCTTCAAGACAAAGTCATACTTCAATCAACACAGAGTCCTCCATATGGGTGAAGTTCATGAATGCTTAGTGTGCAATAAAAAATTTAAGCACAAGTATGATCTAGCGAGACACTTTAAACTTCATGAAGGTTCTGGCTATAAGTGCACCACTTGTGAAAAACAATTTTGCTCTTCCCAACAACTGCAAGATCATATGAGGACTCATACTGGTGAGAAACCTTACCAGTGTGTTGAGTGTAAACGATCATTCAAACAAAGGGCACACCTTGCTCGTCATGTGAGGCAGCATACTGGAGAACGTCCTCATGAATGTTCCATTTGTCAGAAAGCTTTTGTTAGTAAGCATGATCTCACTGTTCATGTAAGGGTGCACACAGGTGAGAAACCATACAGATGTGATACATGTCAATTGTCATTCAAGGATAACCGTGCTCTGAAAAAACATACTATTATACACACTGGAATAAAACATCATGTGTGCTCTGTGTGCAAGAAGGCATTCTCACGAAGAGCAGATCTACAAAACCATAATAGGACTCATACTGGTGAGAAGCCATATGTATGTAGTTTTTGTAACAAGGCTTTTACTGTGAAAGGACAGCTTTTGAAACACACCAAGAGAATCCACAATAGACTTCCCAAATAACCCTTGTTACAAGGAAACAAACTTTAACACTTGTGACTTTAAGTGGATATGATAAAGATTATGCTGAATAAAGTTATGTTATAAAAATTTTGTGTTTAAGTTTACCCAGTATATCATATATCTCTCTATTTACAAGATTATTAATGAAATTAACTCATTTTTGGTGATGCTCCTCATAAGATAATCATTATAAATTAAGTTTACTGCCATTTGTACTTAAGAATATGGAAGAATAAAGTTGGTCCATGTGGTTTGGAATGCTCGTTATAAAGATGTGAAGAGGTATTTCCATATATGTAAAAGAAACATCCCTATGACTGCAAGCTGCTTGTTTCACATGTGTAGTGGAGACAACAAAAAGAAAGCTACATGATATGAATGTCTTCATACACTAAGCTGCATAACGTAGAAATACTACACTTGTATACTGAACTATGGTTTGGGACAAACTGTTCTTGAGTAATAAGTACCATAAATATTGTAAACATGCATTTGTTCTTATTTTTGAGCTCAGTGGAAAATAGGTTGGACTTAGTTTTGAGAATCACCCATCAACATTTCAGAATATGTTCCCAAATAATTTAAAATATTTTGATAAATCAAAATTTTGTAAAAAAAAAACCCAGTTAACTGATAGTATAGTAAAATTGATGCAAGGATAACACCGCTATGCCAACTGTTTACTACGGTAACCAGTTAACGCTTCAGATTACTTATAGTATTGTGAATATGGCCATTCATCCATGTGAGCATTTATCAGTGTGTGCATCCGTCAGTGTGAGCATTTTTCCGTGTGGATAATTTTCGTGTGAGCTTTTATGACAGTGAGCTTCTTTCTGTGCGCAATTTTCGTGTGCGCATTTGTCTGGTCACCGTGCCATACGTGTTCCATGTTTGTTCTGAATATCGGTGACCGCCTTTTAATTTTGTTTTTACCCTTAGGTAGCATTCTTAGGTGTTTCTTTTTAACGGGATGGGAAGAAACACACAGGAAGAATATGTAATGTGCAGCAGATAGATCGATGTTTACAGTTTTGTTAAACAGTTTTTTTGTGTAAAATTTATGCAAGCGTCATTAACCACTATGCCATCCTTCACAAATTGCATACGTATTGCTGTGTTCCGTGCTGGTCCTGAATATCGGTGACTGCTTACCTATAACCAGAGGGTTTCTGTTATTATTGGTCTGGCAAGGATCGGAGATGCCATGATATGTTCAGCGTTTAAATCTTTAACGTATATCCATGTTTTGGGACGCTTTGTGGAGTGTAATAGCGAAGCGGTTTTATGGTTCTGTGTTTAACTGCAATTGTTTTATCTGGGTAAGCTAATGTGAACTGTGTAATTTACGGACAGCCCAACTCTTGAATGTCCTAGGATTTGCAAAGGTGAGTTTGTTCGTATGTTCAAATCATCTTAAACATTGGCTAGACATTGGTAGTAACTAACATGTGCATATGGATGACAAATTATTCACAAGTTTAATGAGTCTGTTCTGTTATACCATAATGCAGACACATTTGCTCATGTAATTGTGCACGAATATGAATTTGCTCTGAAGATTGCAGTTGAATAAATGTAATTTGTTAAAACACTGTTCTTATATTTACATTTATCTTCATATTTAATAAAATGTCTTAGAGTGAAATTTCATTGAGGATATTTAGAAATTTCCATTTTCATTCCCAGTAATATAACTTTGTGGTAAATTTACTTTCTTAGTTATAATTTTTTGAAGCATAAATTGACTTTGGCATGCTGAATTTTATTTGATTTTAGAAGTAGTAGATTTTAATTGTTTCTGTTACTAAACTGTTCACAATGCTTTTTGTAAAATTGTCCACCTTTCTTTTACAGAGGTTTAACTTTTGAATATTTAAGTCATTCTGCAAAGGTTCCTTCAGTAAGTGACTGAACATTACTTATGTCTGCAAACTACATGTGTGCATTTCATCACTTGTTTGTCAGCCAGCCCTGCCATACATAAATTTGAAGTTTCTTATACATGTCCCCCCATCCAATAAATACTCCCACCACTTTCATAAAAGTGGTAACTGTTTATTGGAGGACATTATCCTTTGGAATATACATTTCTAATGTTTTATAGAATTGAATGAGTCATGGCAGGTGCTTGCTTTTATGAATGAAACTATTGTAAATTACAAGGTGTGTGAAGTAGCATATAGTCATAACACAGCATAATTAATTACTGAGCAAATGGATATGGAGTGACAACGCTAACATGACTGGAATTGGTTAGGAGTACGGATGTTTGTCGGTCGGCAGCAGCATGTTGATGTCTTTGTAGTACGCTGCACCACACTCTCATGGATATGAAGTAGACAGCCTCCACTGCGCTTAGAAAGCTAAAGCCAAGGAAAAGACCGAGTAGTCCTCCAGTGTTTGCTGTAACAGAACGTTAACATATTAAGCTAGTATAACTCATGATATTTGTGGGTGTTTTGTTAACTCAAAGCAATATGAAACATTAATGGGGTTGCCTTTGTAATATGAGTACATTTACAATGGCCAGTTCACTTACCGGGATTGACAAAATCTGCAGATGTTTTGTCTTAGCAAGCATTGAGTCATTTAATTTTGATTCTCTGTAATAGGCCTAAATGACAAGTGTTTCAGTGAAGAGCAATCCCATTTGATTTTACTGTACTGGACTGTATGGACATCTGGGTTCTGATTTTCAATAATTGTGTCTGATTATTTTAAACAAATTCACATTTGGTAATAAATACTAACTGCATATCACATATTCAAATATTGTATCACCCATAGGAATGACAAGTTACATGAGAATGTCCTGTTAAAATAAACAAGAAATTGAAAATGTTACTACAGGAATCATATATTATAAATGTAATTCTAGAGAGTCTTGTCTTACTTACAGAGAAATTCAGTGAATCCAAATAGCTCTGACTTATAATAGGCCATGAACTGTGACTCTGTGAAAAACAGGTGTACCACTGCTGTATTTTGCCTGTGAATAAGACAAGGAAACATATTTCTAATAGGTCACTCATAAAATAGAAATGCAGAGTTGAAAATTTGTAATTTCAGTTTCACATTCTCACCGTGCACCTTTGGATGTAATTCATTTGATATTTCAAGGGCTATAATTTTGCTGGTTCACCACTACCTAAATGTATTTTTTTTAAATGGACATTTGTATATTGTATATTACAAAATCCTGATTGGAGGTTACAAAAGAACTATCATCAAGTACTGTATTTTCTTCTTTCCTTTAGTCCTCCATTTTGTCCATGAATTATTTATTCTATTTTCTGATGCTTTTCTTTGCTGGTCTTGTTTTCTTGCCTAACATCTACAATATCACCATCCTTACATTCGGCATTCACGTTTCAACGTGTTGTGACCTCCCTTTATGATTTCCTCAGTGGTAAAACGGTTAATGGAGGGATGACCATTTTGGCACAAGTTTGTATGCAGGAATGGCGTAACCTAACAAGGGACAATGTCTTGCACTTGATTTTAGCATTGACAGTTAATTTTTAACACAGAAATTCAATTTAATGCATGGTTAATATCTTATATCTTTATAGTCGGGCTTCTTTAGACTTTGACAACATTTGGAAGTTTTTTAATATTTTAGTTTATTTATTAATTATACCTGTTGGCAATTTCCATCAAGTCTAATATTTTATATGTTATTTTTAAGCCTTGATCTCTGATCCATCTTGTAGATGGAATACATACATTCCCCACCATTGCCTATAAATTGCTACTTGCTTCCACTGCTTCATTTGCCACTTTACAGTTGGTGTTGTTGCTGACATGATAACATTTGCTAATATCTGAGTTACTGTAAATAGTACGTCACAAATTGTAAACAATAAATGAATACCTGTTTCATAGTTGGACCTGTCAGGTTGCTGTTCAAGAATTACTATGTATGTAGCAGTGCAACTTTCTTCTTCAGGAATGCATGAAGAGCAGATAGTACAAGAGTGTGCATTCATGTGTGCAATAATTTGTGTACACACAGGTGATTTTTAGGTTATGGTGCAATTGCAACATATTGTATTATGACACACACTGCATTCAGCTGAATAAGACAGAGTAAGAAATATATTTTTCCAACCTGAAGTATGTTTGATTTGTTGCATTGTATTCTTTGCTTAGAGTAAATTTTCCAGACATTGCACTAGATGAAAGGGTGCCTCGGTATCTAAGTTCATTACATCCTGGCAGGCACTGACATCGCTTAGGAGATAATTCTTGACTGTCTGTTCCAAAATTTGAAGTGTTGGCAGATTCATCTGTTAGGCGAATCTCGCTGGTCTCTGCAGATATGATATTGTTTCAGTTAGGGTTTTAATCAGTTAATGTGAACATTTGGTACTTATTCCTAAAATAAATATTTTCCACTTTCTTCAGGACACTTATCTGTTCATTGAATTATGAATTCTCTTCTTAGTTTATGTAGTTGTTGCTTAATTGGTGACAATAAGATACCTAGAAATGATTTATCTCAGTTCTTAATAATAAAAATATTTAAAAATTTCTCAATGTTAAATCTGTTCTGCATAGTA